GTTTTGTAAGCACAAATTATCAGTTACTAGGATGCGCAAAGTTAGTGTGGCTTCCTCCTGAAAATATAGAAATGTTATGGAATGCATATACTCCATATTTTATGCTTCAGAATATTTATATATATCCAAAAAATAAAGTTTGGCTTGAGTATAAAATTTAATCAATGTTAAGTACACTATTTTTTTTTCCTAATCTTTTTTTTAAGTTATTTTAAAACTGTATTTTTAAAAACATAATATTGACAAAACCCATAACATTCTCACAATATGCTAAGCCATAGACTATTTTAAACCTGATTTGTTGAACAAACCAGAGTCAGTTTTGCACATGAGTAGCTCTTAATTTCCACTTCTTTGAACTAGATAAAAAGCTTAGGGTTAGGCTGAATACAAAATCAAGCCAAGTTAGTAATTTAATCATAATCAGCCCTCTAGTCTCTATTTATGTGTCGTAACATACAAACAAGCTACTATTTCAAATTCAGATTTGCTTTTTCATAGCAAACATTCTATCTTAACACAAATATGTGCATCCACCCAAAATAGTTTGCTCTTGTTTTCACGTTATAATTATAATTTCTGCAATTCCTTTGGTTTGAGCTATCCCAAATCACTGTGAATCAAAGCAGCATACAAGTTTAATAAATTAATGTTATTTTATTAAAGTTCTATGCTTATAATTACTAGACTCCTACAATAGTAACACCCAAATATTGACAACTTTCATCTAATGAATATCATTCATTACAACCCAAAGCAGGTACATTACAAAATAAATATGGAATGAAAATACCTCTAAATATTTGTATGCCGCTCAGTCACTTTCATATGAGATGAGCAATTACACAAATATGATTTAAAAAATATTTTTTTCCTAATATATCTAAGATTTTATTCCTTGAGTTGTCATTAATATTCATATCAACCTTTAATTCATGACAATATTTTATATTCGATAATTAGCTGTTACACATTTCTATTCAATTGTTTTTTGTTATCAGTATAGCATGTAAAGTGAATACTGTATGCCATTTTTTATTTTTTAAATAATGCTAAAGACACATTTGTATGATAGTAAACTAACCCAACTCCTTTCTAGGGGTGACAGACTGATTACATTATATCCATACGAAGTAGCTCTCTAAACTATGGCTCTTCTTGATGCGTAAATGTAGAGTAGATAGTATTAGTATTTTTTTAATTAAACAGAATTGGAAAAGAAATGAATACTATTTCAATACAATACTATTTCAAATTCTGGTTAATATTAACCAGAAATGACGCCACTTTGTATGACACATCTCACTAATATACAGAAGACTTATCAGCTGTGATCAAGAAGCCACTTCAGACCAGGATGAATTCCAGGCAAAGCAATCTTAAGCTTCCAGGCAAAATTCCAGGCAAAGTAACTGCCAAATTTTGAATGAATATACAATATGAGATTACATCATCTAAATCTAAGCAAATGCTAATAGGTGTGGTAAAGAAGTTCTTCTTGGCAAATAAGGAAGCAAATTTCAGACTGACTGTTAAATCTAAATGAAACATGGTTGAAGGTTATAGCTGACATCCTAAGTGGGGGAAAAAGTCTTGCAATGATATAAAACTCATATTTTGCTGGTTACAAAAGTATGCTTCTTGATCAGATAATTGAAGTTTGTGAAGTAACTGAAAAATGTTTCAAGAATAATCCAAATCAAACAAATCAAAATGGCTGAAGAAGCTGAAAAATACATGAATGGCATCTGACTGTTTAGGGGAGAAGTTCATATACTCGAAGCAAAAGACTATCAACTGTCATATCTTTTCTTCTGTTTGGATTTTAAATGATAGAAGAATAAAATATTAAAATAATATTAGATTTTAAATGATAGAATAAAATGATCAGATGCTTCATCAAGTACAGCACATACTACAATGATAAGGCTATATATTAGAAATTAATATATACATACTTGATTATTTATATTTTATATAAATAAAATTGTTAACTGTTATAATAGTACATTATGCTTTCTTTTTTTCTGTTGTGTGTTTTTTTTCTTTTCAGGACTTATTTGTAATTTTTTTTAAATGTGATGCATTGTAATTATCTTTGTCCTTTCTTTTATTTTTCTTGTTTTATGATTATTTATATAAAAAATAAAAGTACAGCATATACTACCCAAATTTACCTGAAGATAATTATTAAAATACACTTTGAGACATTAGAATATAAAGTCTTTCATTCAACAAATACTTCTGAGCGTGTAAACTATTCCATCTATCTACACGCTGTAGATAAAGTAGAATTCAACATTCATCCAGTTACCACAATCAATATTATATCATGAGAGTGATCAGACTTATTTATCAATTTGGAAATACCTGGATTTCTAAAAGAAAAGGTAGTTTTTGCACTCTAAAAGACCCCTAAGGTATTTTTTAATGTGTTTTAGTAGAAAGAAACAGCCAAATTTCTCTAGAATATATTATATCTTCAATCATTTAAAATGGTAATGATTACAAATTATACTGGCCAAGATTTGAACACGCCATAATGGCTTATTCATAAATAAGTTACAAAAAGAATAAATTCTCAAAATGTGATGGCAAAAAAAGCAAACAATCACAATATATCTTAGTGCAATGTCTCAAGTGCCCATTAGGATGGATCCATGGCTCATGATGAGATAAACTCTTTATGTAAATTTAATATATAAATTCAATATCCATCAGAAAAGGAAGATTTGAAGTAGTACCAATATACTTGTGTGCAAGAACTTAGTAGTGGGAAACAATGATCATGACACGATACAAGAAAAATGCACCATGGCCAGGGGTGGGTTCTAAAAATTTTTTACTATCGATTCTGTGGGCGGGGCTTATTTTGTGGACGTGGCTTGATAGTCATCTGACAATTCTTTAGGATTTAGCAGAGGTACTGGTCTACCAGGCTTTTAACTGCTTGCCGAGCTGTACGAGTCTACTCATTTGTTTTTGGAGGCACCGGTCTACTCATTTGTTTTTGGAGGCACTGGTCTACCCATTTATTTTTGCAGGCACATGTCTACTCATTTATTTTTCCAGGCACTGGTCTACTCATTTGTTTTTAGAAGCACTGATCTACCCATTTATTGTTGCAGGCACCAGTCTACCCATTTATTGTTGCAGGCACCGGTCTACCCATTTATTTTTGCAGGCATTGGTCTACTCATTTGTTTTCGTTTAACACTGATCAGCTGTAGGGCGGCCCTTTGAAGCCCTGCGGCAAGAGTTTAAACAGTTTTTTTCCCTCTAGCCAATCAGCTGGGACTCAGGAGGCAGCAATAGATTGGGGGTGGGGCCAAATAAAAGGTAAGGATAATGGAGGGGGGCGGGGGGCCAGAACCGGTTCGGTGACATCGTATCGTCACTGCTACCAGCTCGGCAGAACCAGGAGGAACCCACCACTGACCATGGCTAATCAGATGGCCTAGGTAAACCACACACACACACACACACACACACACACACACACACACACGATGCATACAATACTTTGACCCTAAATCACAAAATATATATTGGTCATGAGTAAAAAGCTTATCCTTCCCCACATGGATTTCTAATGACATCTATTCAGGGAGCTCCGATTCCATATTCAAGAGATACTTTTGGAAAGCCTGGGTAGTTACCAAACGGACATTTTTTTCTCTTAAGGCTTCTTTAAGTGGTGGACAGACAATTATTTGCAGAGGAAATAATCTAAAAGTTTTGTATCTAAATTAAATGATTAGTTTGGCATATTTAACACAATGCAAGGTCACATTTCTCAATCAGTAGAATAACAAATATATTTTAATCAGATTTCTGTTTCCAAGTCTTTAAAGAATGCATCCTATGAATACAATATTGTCAAGGAGATCCTACTGGTACTGAGATTTACTGCCTAATAAATGCTTTAGGATTACAGCCTACTCAATATCTTCATCACTGCATTTCTCCAGAAACATACTTTCTTTCGAAGATCATATATCTACTTCTATCCACATTATCTATCCTTGTCATTTTTCCAATTTACAATCCCAAATACTCAGTTTATTGCAGCAGGAAAGAAATAAAGCTATTGTTTAAAAGGGAAACCGTTAGCATGGTATCTTTCCACCAACCACGCTCCTGCAGAAAAACAAGTCTAGTAAACTACCCATCTCTCTACTGTGCCTATCATTTTTGAGTTCTAGACTTCAGTCTGACAGACTTTTGATATTTAACATGTTTACACCAGTCATAACCAAAAAAAAAACAAAAAACAGCTGCATCACTTCTGGTTGAAAGCTAAATTCCATTCTTGCCAATCAACCTGAGCAACTGCCTTTCAATTATTTGTCCTTTTATTCCCACAGCCTGAATTTTAGATGACTGCTAGCTTCTGGAGCAAAGCACAGGGAGTTGAACAGTCTTTCCCCCTAAAACTGATAAAAGTGTGTAACCAAACATCAAGATTTTAGCCATTAACAAAATCTCGGAACAAGTACATCCATCCCTTCCCACAAGCCATAGCTATTCCTTCCCATAGCTTTTATTTCTCCGTTTGCTCCGTAAAATCACACCGGCTAATCCAGCCCCTGGCTCCCCAATGCAACTCGCCGGCCAGGCCTCACTGAGTCTTCCCTTCTACCTCCACCTCCCAAATCACCGCTTCTCTCGATTCTGTTAACTGAGCTGCTGCAACCTCCCCGCCCGGCCCAACCGGCGCTAAGCGGGGAAGCTGGCAATTCCGCATCCCAGAATCGGCGGGGATTCGTAAAAATCCGTCACCGCAGGCCGAGCTCCATCCCCCAATGCATCCTACACCGCGCCCCCCGATCTTGGCCTCAGGGCCCACTTAGGCCCTCAGAGTCCCAACCGGCAGGCCCTTCCCATCCTCGCCACTCAGGCATTCCCCAGTCAGTAAACCCCCAGACACCCCCGCCCCCAGGACAGCCCCGGTCACCCCCATCCCTCAGCACCACGAGTCCCCAACAGCAGCCACTCACCTTCGCGCCCTCTGACCCTCGAACTCAATATAAACGACAGCAGTATCGACCAACCCCGACGGAGGTTCCCGCCCTAGGGGGCGGACTTCTTGGTTGCGGACATGCGCGTAAAAAAAAATATTGCCGCGCGCCTCTTGCTTCCTTGGCATTGTGGGATACGTAGTTTCGAATCCTGTCGGAGGGAGGCGGGGAGGGATTCCGCAGGTGGCGTCTTGGAATCCTCCGTTTCTCTGATGAGTTGGTTCAGGAAGGAAGGAGCTCGGATGGGCGTTGTCGCACAAAAACTGCCTTAACGTCACGAATATTATCATTCATTGACAAATTTAGCCTTGGCAGTATTTTGCTTTCAATTCTGAGCTTTCTAATCAATAAAGTTGTTGGTTGTGTGAATTATACACATACATACACATACACACATATTCACAAATAGCTGTTTCATGGTAAAATGTTTCACTGAATTCATCTGAAGATGTCAGATTATGCAGAAGACTTTTTTGCATTCCATCTTTCTCTTTCACTATCCTGTTCCTGTGCATCTTCCAATCTGCTTTAGAAGTTTGGGAGATCTTCACAATTATATTTAGAGCACACAGGAAGGAAGCAGCAGGAGACAAAAAAGCCCCTCTGTTCATGCACTGAATACTGGATGTGACATATTATTCTATATTTATCCTTCCTTTTTCATATATATATTTCAAGTCAGTGAACATATCTAAAACTGCTGTGTCCTGTTTTCCTTCAACAGCCCTGCAAGGTCGGATGCTGAGAGAATGGCTTAACGTCTCAGACGGCTTTCATGCCTAATACAGTTCTAGAATTCATAGTCTTAGTTTCTAGGCCAGATCTTTAACCATTACACCAAACTGGCTGTCACATATCAGTGAATGTAGCATATAGTATTAACATGTCATTATTTTAATATAAAATATTTGTAATCAACCTTTACAATAAGCAACAGTCAAAGATGAGGTAAAGTACTAGATTTAAACTGCAGCCAAATCTATTTTCCACAGTCTTTTACTTTAGCTGCATGGTGTCTAACCTAAGGTTAAATCTAGTCTTTTAGTGCTATTTGCTCTCAAAGATTAATATTCTGTTCCGTGTATTACAGGTGCTCCCTGTGAAGACCAAGTTTAGGCAACTCAATGTGTTTCATTGACTGACTGATTAAAATTATAAAGCCACCCTCCTCAATACATGACTCTGAATGGCTCATAAACAGGCATTTTGAAAACCAAGGAAAATTCATAATTGTGGAAGAAGACAGAAGTTCAAAGAAATAAAGTGCACTATTGCTTTATCAGGTAGAAGTTCGTATATGGAAAAAGAACAAAAGCAGAGAACAACCCCTTGTGTCTTCACTATGGAAGATACTGCTGTACAGAGTATCACTAGAGGAAATGCAGCATAATACTAACCTCTGAAAAGATCTTAGCTATATTATTGTATCTGAGTGATACCTATTAAAGCTCTGTTGTTTCCCCCTTTTGTTTGAAAACAACATTTGGTAATAACAATGTTATTCTAGTGCATTAGTAGCAGGATAGGAATTCATCTTCCTTCTCTTCTTTATATAGCGATGTACACTCATAAGAATAGTGAAGATGCCACAGGTTACAGTATGTTTCCTTGTTTATTAAATTTTCAGTCCACCTTTGTTTTGAGATCAATTTAAGGCAGCATATGTATCTAATGCTTCTGAGTTTATTTTTCTCAGAACAGGAGCCCTGTGAGGTATGTTTGTCTAAGAAAGTGTGACTAACCCAATATCACCCAGCTTGCTTTTATATCTAAAGATAGATTAGAATTAATATTTTTCTGGTTTTTAGCCCAGCATCTTAGCCACTATCCTAAACTATTCTCAAAATCACTGTCATGGCAGCTGCCTAATACTAAGGCCCAAGAATCTGAGATGACTCCTATAGCAGAAGCTAATACCCCTTAACATTTATTTAGGGTTGCCTATTTGTCAAAATGAACTATGCTGATGCTAGGATATGTTATCTAGAATCACCTCAAACTTGACAATGTCCCTGTTCCTTAATCATTTGCTCCAGATTCATTCTATCTTCAGAGAGTACCAGAAGTGCACAAGTAACATTGAAAATATAGCTGTAAAACATTGACTTACTCTTATTGCATATATAATAGTCTGTTCATAAATTATTTAGACTATATGAGGAAAAATAAGGAAAAATGCGATGCAAATGGTAGAACTGCTGTTACTGTCACCATTCTTTTTGCTAGACAAATCAGGTAAGAGGTGAAACAATGGGCTTTAATCTATAGATGCTTACTATAATTAATGGAGTTTATAGCTCTATGGAATCACATAGAAATTACAAAATATGGAATTTCTATGTGATTCTTCCAATTTCCTCTTTCTTGGCAGTACAGCAAGCTTTAAGTTAATATTATGCTCCCTGTGAAATGTATTTCATAACTACTTCATTTTTCCTGTTTTTTTTTAATGTTTAGACTACATATATTACCACAGATTTTGAAATCTACTGTTAGGCAATTATATTATTGACATCATTTTAATATAACGTATATAAAATTGCGACCACGTTTTGGTAATCTTCTACTGTTTTTATCAAACAAAATGATACATCAAGCCAGAAAGAAGAGGAAGACAAAAAAAGCTGCTATATTGAAGCTATAAAGCATGTGTGATCAGAATTTAAGGCAAAATTAAAAAGGAGTTACAGATTTAAATGTATGAGAGCACACAAGGCGCATTTCCTGCCAAAGGTTTACTATGCAATAACTCAGTCCCATTCATAAAATCTTATCAGTAGTTCACTTACAATTTGTCACACAGGGAAAACTGAAGTGGCTTAACAATGCCCTTTATTCCATAATAAGAAGAACTGTCCATCCAAAATATCCTAGTTGTCATACATTTTTCAGCTTATAGCACGAAACAGAAACTCTAATGGGTAACACAGCAAATTCTTCCATTTTAAAAATACTTTAAAGTAGACAGCATATATTGATGTAACTGATGTTATGAAATTAAAATAAGCAGAGATGATAAAAATTGTGCATATATAATACTAATGGGGCCAAAATCGGTGCTTCTTCTGTGGTTAGGAAAGATATAGGTCACAATCCATATAACCAGTCCCATTGAACAGTTCAATCTAAAACAGTCTGCACAAGTTGTTTCCAAACATTTCTAAAAGTGATTCTATATAAGATATGTTATGGTAGTCCAGATAGGAAATAACTAAGACACTATATGGCATCAATTTCACAAAAATGATATAATTTGCATCAGTGGTGAAATCTAAATTTTTTTCCTACTGGTTCTGTGGGTGTGGCTTGGTGGCGTGGCTTGGTGGGGTTATGTGACTGAGTGGGCATGTGGCTATATAGGCATGTGACTGGGGGGTCAAAAGACAGAAACTCACTTTAACAATGTCCTGCTGGAGCAGGGGGTGGGGCTAGATGACCTCCAAGTCCCTTCCAGCCCTGGATTGCTGTGCTCTTTCAAGGTATCCTCTGAAGTTGCGTCTAGTGGCAGATTTGTGGTCCTTCCTTCCTCTCCTTTTTCCCTCCCTCACTCCCTCCCTCCCTCCCTTTCTCTTTCTTTCTTTCTTTCTTTCTTTCTTTCTTTCTTTCTTTCTTTCTTTCTAAGCACACCCCCACCCCCCGTTTTTGTCCTAGCAGGCCTCAGAGAAGCCTCCTGGGAGCAAAAAACAGATCCCCAATAGGTAGTAAAAAATTATTTAAAAAGTAAAAAAAAAGTTCCAAGGATCGCACGGCATAGCTAATTGTCACAGCTGATTGTCAGAACCTTTTTTAAACTTTTTTAAAGTATTTTTAAACTACCTATTGCCTGAACGGGTAGTAAAAAAATGCTTTAAAAAAGTAAAAAAAAAAGTTCAGGCGATCAGCTGTGCTACACAATCGTCAGAACTTTTTATTTACTTTTTAAAACATTTTTTTACTACTGGTTTGGGCAAACCAGTAGCATTTTCACTACAGGTTCGGGAGAATCGCCCTGAACTGGTAGCATTTCACACTGATTTGCATCAATTATAAGAGGTGTGACATTTAACTGTTTGAAGATACTCATAATCAGTTCTGACAGCTTCACAAACAATTGTATTTGGCAGGATAACTTTTTAAACATGCATTATTCCTAAACTTAAACTAAATCCAGAAATTCATTCAAATGCTAACTAGTTTAACTTCACTCTGCAGAGTTTATATCCCTCTGAAACGGTTCGCAATCTGGGTGTCCTCCTGGATTCATGGCTGTCTTTAGAAGATCAGTTGACAGCCGTAACCAGGGGGGCTTTCGCACAGGTACGCCTGGTGCGCCAGTTGCGCCCTTTCCTAGACCAGGATGCCCTCGCCATGGTCACTCATGCCCTTGTTACTTCTCGGTTGGATTACTGTAATGCCCTCTACATTAGGCTGCCCTTGGGATGCACCCGGAGGCTTCAGCTAGTCCAGAATGCAGCTGCACGAGTTGTTACGGGAGCCTCTCGTTACTCCCGTGTAACACCTCTCCTGCGCGAGCTGCACTGGCTGCCGGTGGTCCTTCGGGTTCATTTCAAGGTGCTGGTGCTCACCTATAAAGTCCTACATGGCTTAGGCCCGGGGTACTTGCAGGATCATCTTCTGCCATCCTCCCATCATCCTGTGTGCTCTCACAGAGTGTGCCTCCTCAAGGTGCTGTCAGTCAGACAATGTCGGCTGGCGGCCCCCAGGAGAGAGCGTTCTCTGTGGGAGCGCTAACCATCTGGAACGGTTTTCCCACCGAGCTTAGGACAGCCCCCGACCTCCTTTCCTTCCGTGGCGAACTGAAGACGTGGCTTTTTCATCAAATGGACTGACCCTTGAGGGGGTTTTTACATTGTAATAATTTTAATTAATTTTAATTGGATTTTAATGTATATTTAATTAATATTGTTGAATTTTTATCTTGTAAGCCGCCCTGAGTCCCTCAGGAGAAGGGCGGCATATAAATTGTAATAAAATAAAAAATAAAATAAATTTCCTGATCTACTATTTGACTGAACAGAAGCTGTCCTAATCTGCCTCATACAGATTAAGGTTTGATTTAGACTTAC